ATGCAATTAAAGAAGGATCTCAAGTGAGAATTTCTTAAAAAGAAAGGTTTCTTCTGAACATGCATGTTTGGGTAAGATAACCAAAATTTCATGTTTATCCTCCAAAAAAGAAAGGTTTCTTCTGAACATGAGCTAAATTGCATATTCTTTACGTGATTCTCTTTTCACTACTAACGCTTTTGATTATGACAATATGGGGGAGAGAACATAAATATGCATATGTGCTGATTAGGGAAAATTATCAAAACAGTCATAAACCTATTATAATTATGCCAATTCAGTCCTAAACCTTTTGCATTTCTACCAATTTAGTCCATCTGATCAATTTTGGCTGGCCAGCACTGACGTGGACGTCGACCGTCCGGCCGACATTGACGTGGCAATTTTTATTTTCTTTTAAAAAAAATTTCGAAACATTTTTTTATTTTTTTCCCTTTTTTTTATTTTTTATTTTTTGCTTTCCTTCTTCCCTTGGCTGGTTGCCGGACCGGCCAGGGGCTAGGGTCGGCGAGGTCACCTCGCCGGCCACTTGTCTGGCGAGGTCGGCCATGGCCCTCGCCGTGGCGAGGGCTAGGTCTCCTAGCCAAGGCCAGATCTGGGCAAGATCTAGCGAGGTCGAGCCTCGCCATGGCCGTGGGCGAGGTCGGCCATGGCGAGGCTCAACCTTGCCGTCGACCTCGCCAAATTAGGGCGAGGTCAAGCTCGCCCTCGCCATGGCCAACCTTGCCCACGATGGCGAGGTCGTCGTCCTCGCCATGGCTGGGCGAGCTCACCCTAGCCAGTGTCGATGAGGTCAAGCCTCAACATGGCCGACCTCGCCCACGGCCATGGCGAGGCTCAACCTTACCAAATCTAGGTGAGATCGAGCTTGCCCAAATCTGGCCATGGCTGAGCGACCTTGCCATCGCGAGGTCGGCCATGGAGAGGGCGACAACCTCGCCTAGCGACGGCAAGGTGAGCTCGCCCTCGCCCGCGATGGCGAGGTCGTCGTCCTTGCCATGGCTGGGTGAGCTCACCCCTCTCGCCAGACTAGTGGCAGGCAAGGTGACCTCGTCGGCCCTAGCCCCTGGCCGGTTCGGCCGGCCAGGGGAAGAAGGAAAGCCAAAAAAAAAAAAAAGTAAAAAAGGGCAAAAAAATTCGAAATTTTTTTTTAAAAAATAAAAATTACCACGTTAGCGTCGGCCGGAGGCGCAGCGTCCACGTCAGCGCCGGCCGGCCAAAATTGACTGGATGGACTGAATTGATATAAATGCAAAAGATTTATGATTGACCCAAAAAAAGATTTAAGACTGAATTGGCACAATTGCAACAGATTAAGGACCGTTTTGGTCATTTTCGCTATCGGTTATGTTTCCATGATTATTTGGTGTAAAATATTGAGCTCTGATTATATTTCCATAATTGTTGTGCTCAATTTATTTCGTTCAAATGAGAAAAATTTCATTCCTATTTAAAAATTCATCTAACTAAATAATGTTATCTCTTGTTTTATATTCATTTTGAATATTCTAAAATTTGGAGCTTGACTTATGTGTTTGCATGCCCTAATTTGAATTCGTACTTTTTACGGGATAAGCAGATTTATTTTACTTTTCACACACACGAAGTCGGAATTGGCCTCATGAAATTCAAAGCAGATTGGTCGGTCAATTTGAATCAACAAGGCCAAAGTCGGAATTGGCCTGAAAAAATGTTTTTGGATTGAGTCCTCAAAGTAAATTGCATAATTACTCATAGTGGGAGGGCATAAATTGCATAATTACTCATAGTGGGAGGGCTTTTTTTTATAAAAAATTTAAAAAAGGTTGTAAAGCGCGTCTTGAGCTAGGTGTTGCCAATTTTGGCACCATTTGGAGCTCGTTTACTATTTTTCCCGAATATTTGAAGATTTGGGTCGAAATAGGGCAGAATCCAGAGTGGTCGGGTTTAATTGAATATACTGTATTAATTGGGCCATATTTAGGAAAAGTGATTTAAATGAAAGTTGAACTATACATCATAAGCTTAAATTAGAAATGGAATTACTCAAATCGGAGTTCGTTAAGGCCTTCAATTGGGTTAAAACTTAATATATTGGAACATGAGAAAATAGAGAAATTTCCCTTTTGGTCAACTAATTGATTTTGTAATTTCTAAGGCTAATTAGTCTAATTGCGTACTTAATTTACCTTGTTTATGATTGAATGATGATTTCTTGTTCTTAATTTTAATTAGCGAAGCATGATTCATTGGCAGGTAGTTTAGGAAAGGGGATTAGACCTTAATTAGGTGCTAATGACTTAGCCTACTGCTTTTTGAAATGCAAGTGGGCGTTGATAATTACTTAGCATTAATTAATTAACCCCCTAGTTGATTACGAGATTGATGGCAATCGAATGGCATGATTAACGTCAAACTACCAAACCAAACTCGAAATTCTTGATTCATGGTTGATTAGGTGGAATTGTTAATTGCTCAAGGTGAGTGATTGCACGTTCCGACGGTGGATATAATTGCTGAGGGCGTCCGGTGGCCGGAAGCCAGGAGGTGGCGGTCCAAGTTGGTTGGTAGCATTAGGTTTATTAGCCTAGCTTAGAACTATCTAGGCTAGTTTAGCTAATAAACGCAGGAGTTAGTAATCAAACAACTTAGCATTTGGTTAATATGGGTTAGTTAGAATAAAAACCAATTTAGACTTAGGATCATTCTCTTAATGAATGATTAGCTTAGTCTTCCTTCATAAAATGAGTAGAATTTAGGCTCACTTTAATCTAGGATTAGAATTTGTCTCTAGCATCAAGCTAAGAGGGTTTCATGTCCCAAGGCTTAGAAGATGTAATATTCTTTGCTCGACTAGTATCGGGTTTTCATTTCTGCACTTTTACTTCAAGCTTCAATAATTTGGTGTTTAATTCCCGCAATTTCGATAAATTGGTTGTTCTTTTCTTTTAGAATGGTTAGGATAACCCTTAGGATCATAATAAACCCAATGCATGAACACTTAGTGACATCAAAAGACCTTTAGGGCTCATAATTGATAACAAAGAATGCTTGATCATTTAGATGAACAATCTCACTAAATTAGAGATACTGAAAGGGTGCTAATTAGATCATTAACATAATCAAGTCCCTGAACCTAGTTCTCTCTAATTGTGTAGAAAGTGAGACAAACTTAGGTGTCTCGCTTGGTTTCTAGTTGACTCCGAAAGACTAGTGGCGACGTCTCACGTAGAATTCTTTAGGCTCAATCAAAACTTAAAATGAACCCAACGTCGCACGAAATATGGGCTTGGGAGAGCCCACATCTAATCAAGGGCCATTAGCCGGTCTTTGAGATTCTTCTTTCCTTTCCCCCCGGAAGAGGGAAAAACGGAATAATGGGTCGGGACACCACTTAATAAAATATACTAGTATGGAAAAAGATATTTATCTTATAAACGGAAAAATGGAATTCTGCTGTTAGAAGAGCTATCCTTTCTATTGTCTTGAAGGGAAAAAAAAGAGATAAACCATAATAAACTAAAGAGTTGAGAGAAATATGCTTCTGTAACATTCATAATTAAAGACAGAAGAATGAGTTATCTACTTTATTCTTCGATTTGTTGCAATCTAAATAGTTGCGATTGCTCTCACAGAGAATGGACTTCAACACACCCTGTAATTTGGAGCTTAAAAATCTTGTCCCTTTTAAAAGAGAGCTTGCATTCTTTGAATGATACTTGGTATTGACCTCTTGGCTCATGAATTGTACATTGATCAGTGGATTTCGAGTGTGCTCCATGATCTTTTCCCACTCTCTATCGAGGAGCCACATCAGTAATATAGCCGCTGATAACTGAACATTGCGGCATTATCTTGCTGGATCGATTCGAATTTCGATCTTGACATTGCTGTTTGTGCGTCACACTTGGGATGAAGAATGTAGGTTGCTCAGGCATGGGAAGGCTAACAGAATTAGCGCTACTAAGCATAAGAACAACTGTATCCATGGTAGGTCGGGCTTCTTTGTCATTCTGAACGCAGAGCAAGCCAATGTGAATACATCGGATCACTTCATTTGCCGAGTAAGATTCACTGAATGTCGGATCCACGATTTCCAATGGTGCTCCAATTCTCCAGTGTTCCCAAACCTAGAACATATGTTGGGATTGTCATTAATTTACAAAAAACAAATGAAATTGTAGGATCAAACTGTACTCACATAGTCGAGAAGGCCTGCATTGTCATCTGATATGTAAGAATACTGATTCTTCTTGCCAGTTATGATCTCGAGCATTAGCACACCGAAACTGAACACGTCCGATTTTACTGAGAATTGCCCGTACATGGCATATTCAGGAGACATGTAGCCACTGGGAACCAATTCAAAGAGGAAGACATAGTCGTGATTCTTGTGAATGAGCATAGTTCGCTTAAAGATCAAGATGTTGAGGCTCAATATAATCTATGCATTAGAAAATCCAATTGAAGTCCAAATCTGTTAGCATAATTATTGCAAATTATCCAGTGGGGGGTTCCTACCACGAGCCGAAGTAATATGAAATTGGACTTACTAAGTTCCGACGATTCTGTTTGTACTTCCTTGAGTCTGCTCAGCACCAAAAATCCTAGCCATACCAAAGTCCGAGATTTTCGGGTTCATATTGTCATCGAGCAAAATGTTGCTAGCTTTGAGGTCACGATGGATAATTCGGAGCCGAGAATCTTCATGAAGGTAAAGAAGACCACGTGCCACCCCAACCATGATCTTATGGCGTGCTGACCAATCCAACTGTATGCTTTGCTGAGGGTCTGTGTGAGCCAAAATTTGTAAATTTTAGAGTCAGAAGAAGCCCAACTCCATGTCTGAATCTAATTGACAAGTAATCGTCCCATTTCATTTTCTTTTGAAACCGTCATCAAATTGTATGAAGAATGTCCCAAGACATAACTATTGAATTTTTGCGTAAACCTGGGACATTTTTTTAGATGGTGACTGGAATTGGAAAGAAAGAACTAAGCTGTGAGGAATGGAATCTTTTTTAAAGAAGATGAAGAGAGAGGCGTGAACCAAAGAGCAACTGGTCGAGGCTTCCGTTGGGCACGTATTCATAGACTAGTATCGTTTCTTCTCTTTCCATGGCATATCCTAGTAGCCTCACTAGGTTTCGGTGCTGAAGCTTGGCTACCAATTCGACTTCGTTTTTGAATTCCTGCACGCCTTGCTTCGAGCTTTGAGACAACCTTTTTGCCGCAATTTTCCTACCACAAGGGAGCGTACCCTACAAAGGACAGAATATGAACGAAAATGTCATGCTAAGGCAGAACATGCATAGAGATTGAATCTCTAGGTAGTGCTTCATATCATATCTCTATGTTAAAAACTTCTTACCCTATAAACTGGACCGAATCCGCCTTCCCCTAATTTGTTGTGATCTGAGAAGTAAGCTGTGGCAGCTTTAATTCCGCCCACATCAAATTGCAGGGAATATAGTTCCGAAATTTCGCTACCAACTGTGTAGCAATAAGCCATCAACTTCACAATTCGAATAAACTATAGACTAATGCTAGCAAAGTAGATCTATGACATTTTTCATGGGAAAGTTGCATAGGAAGTCCTAAACCTTTTGTACGGAATGCAATTGAGTCTTAAATCTTTCAATTGATTCAATCGATTTCTAAACCCTCTTCCAAAAGTGCAATCTAATTTTTTTGTATGAATAGTAGCTGAAATGAGCTACGTGTTACTCAAAAAGTGCTTGTGTGGCATCTTTAAGTTGTACTTTTCCACATAATTTCATAACTTAATTTTATTTTCTAATAAGGGCTAAGGATTTAATTGGAGCAATTAAAGATTTAGACTCGATTGCACTTTTAATAAAGGTTTAAGACTTGATTAAATGAATTGAAAGGCTTCGGACTTCATTGCATTCCATACATAACGTTTACGATTAGTGGTGCAATTTTCCCCATTTCTCACCAATCGGATCTTCGTCGACATTGTTTCTCTTGTTCCTTTCTCTTTTGAGGGCAAACCAGAGCGGGACGCAAAGTAGCACGACCGCCAAAGTAGCAGAAGTGATCCCGATAATTAATCTTGATGAAGAATGCCTCTTCTTTTCGACTGTAATTCAATTAGTTGAATGCTTCATTAGTATAATGGCATTACGTTCAGCATCTGGCAAATATATGGCACCGGCAATTAAATATTTTACGTGCCACCATACTTGGTCAAATCAGTAAATTGAAACGCGTTAGAACTGGTGGAACAAAAAATGCTGAGTTCATTACCGAAGTAGAACGGGTTTATCTCGAACCTGGCGAAGCAACTCGGAAGCAAGATTCTGCCCCCGATTTTCCCGGTTTGATTTGCCAGGAGAATCGAAGTCACATTCTGCAGGCAATCCTCGCAGAGAGCCGCCGACAGATCAGGCCTGCACTGGGCAAACGTATATAGAGTAGCGCGGCTTAATTCTTTGAAGGGGACCTCTTTGGAAGCATACTTCTTATCGAATCTTTTAGCGGCCCGAGTCCTCAGTTGCTTCATTGTTTTTTCCAACAGCTTCATGAACTTGGCGGGCTCGTGCACATTCCGCGGATTATAACTTCGCAGAATAGGCACTTTGTCCGTGGCTAGAAAGAAGTGACGGTAAGAATACTGCAACATACACTCGTCGTACCAGAGGATGGACGCTTTGACCATAGGACATTTCTCTTTGATACTGACACTAGCAGCTTTCACACATTCCATGCACACTTCCTTGGGGACATCTCCCCTGCATAGGAATCGGCCATACACAGCGTCGGCGTCGCTTGGATCCCCCGTGCTCGTGTTCGTGTTGAAGAATCCGTTGCTCGAGTTGGTGTGAGAGGGGAGTGACTCGAGGAGAAGGTTGAGGTTCGCCTCGTAGGTGCTATTCATAGTGTAATTGCTCGAATTCGAGCAGTAATGCTCGCTGATAGTAATGGTTGATTCGGTTCGGAGGGTGAGAAAGCTAAGCATGAAAATGAGGATTGCAAAAAGCTTTGTCATATTTTTTTTGGAGGGACCTGGCTGAAAGTGGCAGCTCTTTCCCTTTGATTTCAGCACCATGCATATAGTGAAGAATGAGAGCTTTAAGGGGACAATAGGGAAAATAATTAGTCAACCCAACGTCGCGCTGGGAAATCTTATATAGACTACCTATTTGGCAAATTGTCTTTAACGAGCGGTTCACACGGAGATTTGGAATTCGAGAGTTCATCTCAACTTTTTCCTCTCTCAAATTGTCATGTGTCCGATCAACCCATGCTTCGTTACATTATTAAAGCCAAAAGTCTTTTCTCAAAATTAAATTGTTTACAAGTAAAATGCGAAAATAATAAGACATGCGTGGGTGACACTGTTAGCACAAAATATATTTTACACAAAAAGTTAGGAAATTGTATCTGTTCACTAAAATCACAAAACTGTAATGCCTTATTTTGTTTGTGCAACATATTTTCACATTTTACACGGTCGGCGCACCGTGTAAAAAGTCCAAAATATATATTGGTGGGCCCACTGGTCACCATAAGTTCCAATTTTGCAGCGGCTCGCCTCCGTCCAACACGTGAACACGAACGGGAAAACGAGAAAATAAATGACGGCGTGGAGCGCGAAACACATGCATGGGCAACACCGACGGCCGAGTTCAAACTGGGTCTAGACGTAATTCATTGGAAATTTGGTTTTGGTGGTGGGCCTGAAGCCTTGCACGGAGACATTGGACATCCCCAATTCAACAAAGCTTTTTGCCTTTGATTTTAACCTTTGAAACTGTTCCTGGCCGACCTTCATCACTCAAAATGATAGTGTTCGCGATTGCCTAAAGTTTTCGCACTTTCCTATTTCTTGCCATTTATTTTTTTGTCCAAATTCAACGGATGACGCTTCATATCTTTAGTAGATTCACACATTGATCCATATATATTCGAAAGATATCTCATCGTCAATTAAATTCCAGCGAAACATCATTTTGAATATATCGAAAGATATTTAGTCGTCGATTCAATTCCAGCGAAACACATCCTTAATTGGGATCATTAGAGAGGGAGAGGGAGAGGGAGTGTGAGAGGGAGGGTGTACGCATCAAAGATTGCCGGTGGTTGACAACAGCCGAGGTGGATATCCTCACTGTGGCAGTCGACAACATCAATCGGGTACAGTTTCAACATTTCCTAACTAGAACACTCTTGGAAACGCCATCCAGTTCTGTCTCTCTAGCCTCTACTGTTTGTTTATTCAACCTAGATACTGCCATAATTCTGTCTTTGTACAACATGTTTTCGTTGAATGTAACATCATCAGTTCTTATCAATATTTTATTTTGTTTATCCTAGAACCGATAGCCAAAATAATTAGAACCATATCTAATAAAAAAACATTTTTTTAGCTTTTGCATCAAGCTTATCTCTATTTTCAGAATCTACGTGGATACACGAAACACAACAAAAAGCTTTCAAATGCGAGAGATTTCCCTTTCTCCAACTCCATTCTTCTTTTGGTAGCTTGAAATCAAGTGCAATTAAAGGTCCTCTGTTAATCAGATATGTTGTCATGTTAATTGCATCCGCCTATAACATCTTGGGTAATCATGCATGCTTCCTCATACTTCTTGCAAGCTCATTTAGAGTTTTGTTCATCCTTTCAACAACTCCGTTTTGCTACGGTTTGTTGGGAACAGTGCTCTAATTCCATTATTTGCATAAAATCGCTGGAACTCTTTGCTACCATACTCACCACCATTATTGAACCTTAGACATTCAATCTTTAGGCCAGTCTCATTCTCCACTTCAACTTTCCATCTCTTCAAAATAGCAAACACATTAGATTTATTTTTCAGAAAATAAACCCATACCTTCCTGGTGGAATTGTTAATAAACGTGACATAGTAGTGTGTGCCTCCAAGGGAAAGCATAGGAGCTAGCCCCCACACATTTGTATGCACCAACTCTAATTTTCCTTTCTTTGATTCTCTCCCAATCTTTGAAAAACTGACACATTTCTCCTTGCCCAAAACACAATCTTCACATAGACCAATATATATGGACTTCAGACCAAGTAGTTTTCCTTAGATGATAACAACTTCATCCCCTTTTCACTCATGTGTCTAAGCCTGTAGTGCCACAATTTGGAATCTGCTTTCAATTCAGCAACTGTTGCGGTTTCTCTATTGCTTTCGGTCATGTACAACGTTCCTGACTTTGTTCCCTGTGCTATAGCTAAAGCACCTCTAACTATTTTCCAAGAGTTGTTCCCAAAAATAGTTTTGAATCTTGTGTTGTCTAATTGACTTATAGAAATTAGATTTCTCTTAAGTCTTAGAATATATCTAACATCATACAACTTCCATTGATACCCGTTAGTAGTTTTGTTGTGAACATCACCCTTCTTTATAATATCCAAAGGTTCATCATCAGCAAAATAAACATTTCCAAACTTTCCAGTAACAAAATTATGCATTAATTTTTTGCATGAAGGAGAGTGAAACGACACACCTGCTTCTAGAATCCAAGACTCAATTGGATTGTCAATACTTAAAATTAAAGCATCATTATCAAGCATCTTTTCAAGAGTTGCATTCACGGATTTCTCTGTTGCGAAATTCAAATCGGCATTAGTATAAAAATTACAAACAATACAGAATCGCAAATAAACGAAATAGCAATAACAAAGTTGAAATCGATACAAATGAATACCGAGGCCTGTGTTTGACACAGTTTCCTTAAAACAGATTCGTTCCCTTCAGGACACGTCCAAGGTTTCGTGAACGTCTGTCTCCTAGGATACAACGGTTGACGGCTAAGAAGTAATCAGCACTTCAAAGCTTCCGGCGAACTCGAACAAATTGCGGAACTGAACACTATCGAAAACCGTGCAAATGCAGAGAATGTGAAACAGAGGAAGAATGATTTCGATAAAATAGAACGCAGGGGAGAGCATTTCGGGAATAATAACGGCCGATTAAATCTGTCGTTACAAAATCAATACGAATAACGGACGATTAAATCTGCCGTTATAAAATCAATACGCATGGGAATAACGGCTAATTAAATCTGCCACATGTTATGAAATTCGTAATAGTTTGAGTTGAAAAATTAAATCAGAAGGCAAAATTGGGCTCGTCGCGAGGCCCACTTTTCGATCCTGCAATCGTGTATGCGGGATGCGCGCTCGCGCCCAAGTTTCAGCTTGTCGGGCGTCGGATTTGCACCCCCCCTGCGCCTGCGCGCGAGGCAGAGAGTTTGTGTTATGATAGTTACCACTTCAAATAAGTGTAACTGTATATAAAGCACTCAATAGCCTTCTTTCTTTTCCGATGTGGGACTAGTGTTTTTCCACTTCCCACTTCCAACACAAGGGTATTCTTTGAGCATCAATTTCTCATTCATTCACCCATCAATTTATCCCATATTTCCAACAATTCCCCACATGAATGAAAATTGTTTTAGTTTTAACTCTGTGATAGTGTTCAACAATTGAAACCTGCATAGGATAGGTAGGTGTTACCCTTTGAACCTTTCCTTGTGAAAGTATATTTACTTTACTAGTTGTCCAGTAGACACGATGTCCTTGAACTGTCCAGCTTTCTTATGTAAATGAACCATACACTTCACGCAGGAATCATCTAAACGTTTGTTCAGTTCTTATAGTTATGTTCGTTTTGGCCATGAACATCAACCTGGTTCTGCAAGAGTTTCTAAAGAATTTAGCCCTAATAATTCTCCTTTGAAGCGGCCCCACTTTTCTCTCACATAGGTGATTACTTAATTTTGAGTAATTTGTTTACTCCACTTAAGAATCATTAAAGCAAAATGCTATCCTTTCCTTTACAATATCACTGATATTTTATATAGGAATGGTTTTAGGGATAACCGCCACAATGACATCACTAAGTTTATATAATTAGGTTGTCCCTTTGAACCTAGATCTTGGGATCTCTAGTCAACTAGGTTGGGTTTCCTTTATACAAACTTATTCTTTCATGGGCTTCAGTCCCATTCCTCTTGTCAATTTCTCAACTAACTCTCTGTTTAACCCTTTGGTTAGTGGATCCGCAATATTATCCCTTGACTTTACATAGTCAATAGAGATAATTCCTGTTGAGAGTAGTTGTTTAATGGTATTATGTCTACGACGTATATGTCTAGACTTACCATTATACATATTACTCTGTGCTCTTCCAATCGCAGATTGACTATCACAATGTATACTTATTGGTGGCACAGGTTTTTGCCATTTTGGAATATCCTCTAAGAAATGGCGTAGCCATTCAGCCTCTTCACCGTATTTATCTAAAGCTATAAATTCAGATTCCATTGTGGATCTGGCTATAACAGTTTGTTTACAGGATTTTCAAGATACGGCTGCTCCTGCTAGTGTGAATACATATCCACTAGTAGATTTTGAGCCTTTTATATAAGATATCTAATTCGCATCACTATATCCTTCCAGAACAGCTAGGTATCTAGTATAATGCAAGTCATAATTTTGAGTATATCGTAAGTACCTAAATACTCTCACTATTGCTTTCCAGTGGTCAGCACTCGGATTGCTTGTATATTTACTCAATTTACTAACCGTATAGGCAATGTCTGGTCTAGTACAACTCATTAAGTACATTAGATTTCCAATAACTCTAGAGTACTCTACTTGAGAAATACCCTCTCCTCTATTCTTGGATAGATGAAGTCTATTGTCTAATGGTGTTCTAGCAATACCAGAATCATTCATGTTGAATTTTTTAAGAATCTTGTCCACATAGTGTGACTAGTTTAAAATAAGACATTCTGATGTTCTTGTGATTTTAATTCCTAAAATCATATCAGTAGGACCCATATCTTTCATGTCAAATCTTGAATTCAATATACACTTGGTAGATTTGATCATTTTATCATCACTACCAATAATTAGTATGTCATCTACGTAAAGACACAAAATGACATAGCCATTTGTTGTCACTTTAATGTAGACACATTTATCACATTCATTGATCTTAAAACCATTGGTAA